ATTTCTCAATTACTATTTTCAATACAGAATATTTCTTTCCCTAAATGGCACATTTATAAACAGAATAGCTGCCAGATGGGGTAAACATTTATTTTGGAATTGGTAGAGTATTAGGTTTTCATTCAGATCCCACTGAAACAAACAGATTTTGAGTCAGGCTCACAAATCTCTACAAGATCATACACAGCAAGCCATTCGCCTCAAAACAATGTGGGGTATAGTCAAGGTCAAAAGGATTACTTCTGTCAATTTAGAGCATGACCCACAGAAGTGCACCAGTCCACCGTAACCTCCAAGGCAGAACTGAAATACTCTGTTCCCTGACCACATTCGTATGAGCTACAAAACCCTTCACAAGACTAAATCGATCCACGGTGCCTGTTCTAGCAATAGCAAAGTCAATAATAGTGACAAGATACAGGCTGGGATTATGGTAGACAGCACATTTACAAGAAGAAAGTTCATTGTGCTTATCTGAAGCATTCCTCTGTCATACTTGGTCTCCCTCATAAAGAAAATATTTTACTTATCTGTTATTGAAAAAATTAAAAGAAATTAACCCAGCTAGATATGAAATATTCCCAATAGAAATACTTGGATATTTATTGCTTTAGGATATGTTTATCTAGATTTTCTATCCCCAAGTAAATATCACTAGATTGTTTGAGTGCTTTCACTGTTTTGATATCCTTTTAGATATCCCAGTTATTGTTGATATGCCAGTTTATTTTAGACACCGAGAAAATATTTATCTATACAATGAAAATATGTATTTCTGTAGAGCACTTCAATTTACAGTAGTCACATTATCAACATGGAAGTGCATAAATCCAAGTTCCATCCTTCATCAATGCTATGATCCTACATGTACCCCCCTCCACAAGTTTCTTTCCCACAGGTAATGAAATAGAATAAATTTTTGCCATCTCCCTCTCCGCCCCTCCTCCTCCCCCAAGAAAATAGTTTAAAAATTCAAACCAATCCTAGAAGAGCAATTTCCAGTTCCACATAAGCAATAAAGTGAAATTAACACCTTAAATGCGTGTGATAAAACAAGGGAAGTTACATACTCCTTGCCACCAGATGTAACTGGCTATTTGGAATGAAAGATGGTCTAAAAGAAGTCATGAAACATGGCAGTAGTTCTGTTAAAGATGTCAAAAATGGTTGAAAATAATCTCAGTCAAAACCAAGTATGTACCTGCAGATTGTTTCCTATCCACCAGTAGAAGACTGTCAAATTAGGGTTCTTAGGCAGTATGATGGCTGTCAGGTTCACCTCCTGGTTTCTCCCAACAACTGGAACCACTTCTAAATTTAAAGCCTGCAGTGGAGCTGAAAAAAGTTCCCAAAATATCAGTAAGCAAGAATCCATCAGTTTATTAATGCCTCTTTCCCCACAAGCCTCTCCTCTGCACATCGCAAGGTCCTGAATTTATTTTTCCCTCCCCCTCCTGCTTTACATCTGTGATGAATACTATGAGCATTGGAAGGATATAATTTTAACAAAAACCCTCAAACTTAAAAAAATAAAACAATCACACCAAAAAATCCTAGTGCAACATGATGGATCACCAAAATGCACCTTTCTGTTGTACTTTTTTTGGGTTCATATCCAATTTCAGAAACCATAAGCAAATATCCCATCTAAAAAGTGGAAAAGTCATCTCAGCTTTTTTTTTTCCTTTTTTAAAATGTAATAAAATATTAAATTAATAAAAATCTAACAAATATCTCAATCTGCTAAGAGAAAAAGCAAAAAAATTGAAAAAGAATGTAGCTGACTACTCATTTTTATTTTAAAATATAAGCTGCTAGGCTCACACCACATAAGATCTCATTAATGCATATTTTAAAATAGATCTGTATATCAGGGGAGCATTTATTTGCAACTCAAAATAGATAATTTTGTACTCCAAAATACGCCTTTAGAATAAGTTTGTTTTTTTCTGAGCTTTTGCCTATGAAGGCTGTAAACATTAATAGTAGTATAAAAGAATCGCATCATTACAATTATTTGATCTACTTCTTAATGTTGCATTTTGCTTCATAGTACAATAACTTTATTGAAAGAAAATCTTTTGGAGGTTTCCGAGTAGAGCTTATTCAGAATGTGAAGGCTGTAAACATTAATAGTAGTATAAAAAAATTGCATCATTACAATGATTTGATCTGCTTCTTAATGTTGCATTTTGCTTCATAGTACAATAACTTTATTGAAAGAAAATCTTTTGGAGGTTTCCGAGTAGAGCTTATTCAGAATGTCTGAATCATAGAATGGTTTGGGCTAGAAGGGACCTTTAAAGGCCATCTAATCCAGCCTCCCCTGCAACGAGCAGGGACATCTTCAACTAGATCAGGTTGCTCAGAGCCCTGTCCAGCCTCACCTTGAATGTTTCCAGGGATGAGGCATCTACCACCTCCCTGGGCAACCTGTTCCAGTGTTTCAACAACCTCATCGTAAAAAAAATTCTTCTTTATGTCTAGTCTAAATCTACCCTCTTTCAGTTTAAAACCATTACCCTTTGCCCTATCACTACAAGCCTGTTTAAAACCATTACCCCTTGCCCTATCGCTACAGGCCTTGCTAAAAAATCTGTGCCCATCTTTCTTATAAAAATTCTTTAAGTACTGAAAGGGCTGCAATAAGGTCTCCCTGGAGCCTTCTCTTCTGCAGGCTGAGCAACCCCAAATCCCTCAGCCTGTCCTCATCAGAGAGGTGTTCCATCCCTCTGATCATTTTAGTGGCCCTCCTCTGGACCCTTGGGAGGGTCCATGTCTTTCCTGTGCTGAGGGCTCTAGAGCTGGATATAGAACTCCAGGTGGAATCTCACCAGAGTGGAATAAAGGGGCAGAATCACCTCCCTTGACCTGCTGTCCATACTTGTTTTGACGGAGCCCAGGATATAGTTGCCTTTCTGGGTTGCAAGTGCGGATTGCCAGTTTATGTCCAGTTTTTCATCCACCAGTATCCCCAAGTCCTTCTTGGCAGGGCTGCTCTCAATCCCTTCAGCCTCATCCTGTACTGATATCAGGGGTTGCCAGACCCAGGTGCAGGACCCTGTACTTGGCCTTGTTGAACCTCATGAGGTTCACATGGGCTCACTTCTCGAGGCTGTCCTGGTCCCTCTAGATGACATCATGTCCCTTAGGCGTGTCAACTACACCACTCAGTTGTCGGCAAACTTGCTGAGGTTGGACTCAATCCCACTGTGTCAGTGATGAAGATATTGAGCAGTACTGGTCCCAATACAGACTCCTGATGGTTACAAATCTCCACCTGGACACTAAGCCACTGACCACTACTCTTTGGATGCAATCACCCAACCAATTCCTCACCCACTGAACAGTCCACCCATCAAATCCATATCTCCCCAATTTAAATTGAGAGAAGGATGTTGGGTAAAAGCTTTATAATAGTATAATGTGATATATTATTTCTTAACTTCAGCTGTACCATCCATCCAGGATACCAAAGCACTGTATGGTCTGACATACATTCAATACACAGAATGAATTTTTGCTCCATTTTTGTTTCATTCTAAAAATCTTTTAACTCATTCAAAGGGCTTTCATCTCAGTTCAAATTCAATTAATACCAGTCCAAAGTCTTTCTCTTACTTTCTTTCATTAACTGATTCATTGCCTATTCATTTCTAATTCACTTTGATTAAACTGACTGCAATTGTCTAAGAGCACACGCTCCTTCTTTTGCGCTTTACTTCAACCAGTCTGTGTGCTGCTTCATCCAAATATAAGGCTCTATTTTCACTCTGTGTTTTCTCTGATGACTCTTTAACTGCCTACATGAATTCAAGACATGTTGAGTGTTAAAATAAATGGTTTCTTCAATAGCTTCTTTACTGAAACGGAGTTAAAATGCTCTTCCTGTTGCTAGCTCCTTAATGAAAATTCAGCAATTGTAGGAATGCCATCAAATCTGTTCCTCCTAGAAACAGATTTTCCTTCTGATGGAGCAAGTTAAAAAAGTCTGAAGGGATCTGTGTCACTGTGTTGATTTTGCCATAAATTTACAATCTCCCAGTGAAAACCAGTCATTCTGAGATACAGTTTTGGTCCTGAAGCAGGTTACTTTCTTTTCCAAATTTTTTAGGGAGGAAGTTGTTTGGAACTTGAATGATGACTGTTATTTCTAAATTCCTATACAGTAAAGAGCTAAAAATAATTATTGTGAGTCATTCTACTTGTCTCAGTCACACAGTTCCATAATGCATTTGAACAAGCTTCATAGCACCCTTAAGTGTATACAATAGGAATGAAGTTGATTTACACGATTTCTGTTCAATGAAGCTACGATTTCAGCACAGTTTTTAACGCTCCCTTATTATTCGCACTATAGACATGATGGTTTCATGAAAAAGAAAATGTATGCCTAGTTCTTCAGTTATTCTTATTCTGAAATACCTACTCATGTTTATACTATCAGACTTGCTCCAATTTCTCTTACAGTTCATTAACAAGTTGCAGATTGTGTGATCTGGATCAGAAAGAATAGTCTGGATGAGAGGCTCAAGTTCATATAATTGTCCTACATTACAGAGCTTCCCAGGCAACAGAACTTGGCAGAAGTGAAAAATATTCCCTTTACCATTTGTCCCTGAAAAAATTCTCTAGGAATACATCAGCTGTAGACAGGGTAAAAGCAGGACTCTATGGACATTTCTGTTCTCATCATATTCCACAGTGAAAAATGTCCCTGAATGGCTATTAGTGTTTCTCTAGAGCATAGAAATAGCAGTTTAATTAGTGCCAGCTAATTTCCTCAAATCTTGTAATTTATTTAAAAAATTAAACAGACTAAATCACACAGAAAGCACTTATTCAAGCGGGCTGGGTAACATGCTTTTGTGAGTCTTTCGTTCACCATGAACAGCATCCACCAGCAAGCTCAGGAATGGACCATGTCTGCTTCAGTGCTCTGCTGCCACTGCACCTCAGCAGGAAAGTTCTCTTAACACACCAGTCATTTAACTTGGGAAAAAACATCTCTGGCTTCTGCAATTTGTAAATCCACTGCATAAAACACAATTGACATCTTTAATTTTTATGGTTTATCCTGATGTAGGTCACATCAGAAGCACGTTTTGAGAAACCAGTTGTTCCACTTTCTGTCGGGGGTTGCTACTGCTTGTCATTCTCTGAACAATAAGAAGTTGTTCTCCCCGGAGAGAATGGTGTTACACAGAGCTTTTTGCTGTTCGTTGCTTCTACAGATCTACTGTTCCTGTGCTTAAATCTACTTCCCAGCACCGAGAAGCTCCAAAAAGTAACAGTGAGGCCCTAAATTATCTGAGCTCTCTGGAGTTGCCAAATGATTTAAGAAAAAAACACAAAAAAGATAATGAAACTGAGGTGGAGAATTTGATTCTGATACTTTCCATTTGATTTTAATAGGAGATTAGTCATTAGCACTAATGGGTTGGGCTCCATCTGCTAATCAAAACAGAACTGGAAACCCTGGACTCATGGACTCTGACTAGCAAAATACATAAATATCAGTAGTCACCAGACAGGCTGACATAAAGCACACGGATCTGCACACAGCCTTGTTTGTGGCTCCAGCAATTTCCACTGCTTTGGGATTTGGATGGAAGACACATCGCTCACAACAGAGAGAAACAGACACCCGGAGAATACAAGATGAGTATCTTTTCTTTTGATGTTCCTTGTTTCTGAATTTTTGACATATCTGAAAACAAGGAAAGCTATCTTGAATCTCGAAGGAAGAGAAGAATTCAATTCCAGTTATGAGTTTCCTTCTTCATTACAATTATGAGATGACTAAGGTACCTTAAGCTTGCGATGGTGCATGATATTTCCTGTGCCGTGCTATTCTTTTAAAACTATTTGATGGGCTTTTTAGGTCTTAATTAGAGAAGTCTAAGTCAAGTAATACTGGCTGCCAACGTGAAGTTATATCCAAGCACCACTTTAAAACTTTGTGAGAATTAACTACCTAAAATCTAGATTCTAGTGCTTAAAAAGTAGCCTGACTTTTAGGAACACTGAGGTTTTGACTCTTTTTTAAAAACCATACAAGAGCTCATATGTTTCTCAACACATCTGTTCACTTGCTTCACACAGCACCTGGAAGCTCCTAAAAAGATATAACTTGAAGTGTTAAATTTTAGCTGTTAAGACTGCCAATGGGTCTTGACTCAGGAAGATGGATCAAACCTGAGATTTGAACTGAGGCTGTTTAAAAGATTAATACACCATCCTTCTCCTAAATCCAAACAAACCTAACTCTGAACTCCTAATAGATTTGGTTTACGAACCTCGGCATTAACAACACACAGCACTGCAAGACTGCATCAGGCTATTAAAAAAAAATACGTATTTTCCCTAATTGTGACTAGCGATTTCCTTTACTACTTCATGGTTGTCACAAGGCTTCTACGCAGTAGCAGAAGTAAGAAAACCAAAGAGCTGATTTACAGTTCACTTGGACGAACACCACAGCCTCATCATGCCCAGCCACATTCTCAGCCTTCACCGAGACGCGGTAAATCCCAGGATTCTCATAGCGGTGACGGATGGGTTCTCCGGTCATCGTAAGGTTCACATAGATCGCCTTAAAGCCATCTCCAAGATCCACCTGGTATTTCGTATTCAATATATCACCCTAAAAGGAAAATATATAAAAAATATTTTAAATGGCAAAACCAAAATAGACAGGACACATGCTTATAACCATTTCCTGAATCACAACAGCATTTCCAGCCCCAGCCAGATATTTTGACTCAATTGCAATAGTTGCAGTGAAACCACTACATTCATGGCAAAGATTTTAGTGCAACAGATGTTGTGTGCATTAACAGAGATACTACTAAATTTCCACAGTAAGATTCTACCTTAAAATAAGACACCCCAGACAACTAACCAAGTTGTATGACACAAAAACCATCGCTCTTGTCTTAATGCAGCTGGTCATTAACTAACACAACAGTGCAGGGCAGCCCCAAGTTCTGGAGTGATTTTCATATGATTGCAAAGAACTGAATATTGTTATTTTAGCAAACGACCACTCATCCAGTGAACTTCTAGCCTACACAATTATAAAGTAAAATTAATTGGTTTAGATCTTCCTCACAGCACCTTCTAACCACACCCTCTGTGTGTCAACCATATGGCTTCAATGTCCAAGCTTGGATCTTCTCACAGAGTTGTACTGCATTATACAGAGCTACCAGCATGTTTAGAACTAATGTGCTCTACTGCAAAATTAGATGCATGAGTAATGAAGCTGATCATTGAGCTGAGTTTGGAAAAGGGTTTAAAAGTCCAGCCAAATAATTCTGTCATGTCAAACATCTCACAGAATTTATAATTCATTGCACTTCTGCTAAGTGCTCCTTTAAATGACACTGTCTTCCTGAACTCAGGCCTAAAAGACTACAAGAGTGATACTACTGTGAGAGGACAAACATATGCCCATCACTCATTTTGTCACCGTGTGGCTGCTCAGGAGAGAAGTCAGGCCCGTGCTACGTCGACTGGTGATGCAGATGGAGTCAAAGGAAACTTCATTTTTGCTGTGAGCAGCAACACCTTTTCAATGCTACTGTCAGCACTGCCTTAGTGAGCTGCCCTGCTTCCTTGGTCTTCAGCAATATGTTCCTGCTCGCTTGCCACGGTACACATCCATCACAATCATGCAATTAAAACGTGTTGCAGGGCCATGGTTGGTAGAAAATCCTCCTTACTGTGAAAAAATTGTGTTGGTTTAAAAATCTTCATTGTCTCTAGGAAAGGAGTGTATACATCCCCATGCTAGTCAGGTGACCTGAATGGCCATCAGAGCAGAGAAGGACTGACAGCCATCGAACTATTCAAAAATCACTTCACTTCCCCATAAGCCACTCTCTGAAATATGTTTATATCAAAATCTAATCCCAAAAGGCAGCACAAATATAAAATCAAAAGAGGCAACAAAGCCTAGAATTTACATACCCTGGCATTACAAAGGGAAGGAAAATATACTATTATTTCCTTCTTTTATACTTTTGCAGTTCGGTTGATTTTCTTCCATGTTTTATCAGATGAAAGAGCCTTGCTTATAATGTAAAAGAATACCCATAATAAGGAACCTGTAGGGTTATCAAATACCTAAACACCATACTTCAACACACATAAAGGACCTTGAAAGCTTCTTTACTGTGAATATTTTTTTCCAAATAACATCTTTCTTTTGACAACAGATGGGTAGAATTTAGCAGAGGAGATAATACGTTATTAAAGTTTAAAGCAAAAGAGATGTCTTCTTGCCAGCAATGTGCCAGTAAGTGGAATCTCTTCAGACGACATTAGCTTGCAAACAGTTCTTGTTCACTCTTTCTTATGCTAACAAGTATACATGATTTTTTTTTTTCAAGGTGAGACAGAAACCAGTGTTGAAAGTCAGTAGATGCAAGCTTCTCTTAATGTTTTATTCTAATAGTTTCCCTAGAGTACAGATGAGAGTGCCGTCTTCAAAACCCCAAGGCACTTCTGTTTCCCTGACCAGAAAAGAGAGCACTGGACAGACAACAAAAGAGTCACATATTAAAAAAGGCGGCTAAATTTAAAAGGAATTGGGGCTTCCACTTCCATGCAAAATAGAGGATTGTCATGACATTATTTATTCATACATTCAGCCAACAGAATCTGGAAAAAAATTACAATTATAAATTATTAATATTTCTAAGGTTACTTGCAAACTGCCCAAACACACCCGAAGCCAGCTTTCTTTACTCCCTGATGTCTGGCATTCCTGTACCTAGTAACATGCGTTCACATAAACTGGGAAATTAATTTTGTTCAGCAGAGAAAGTGGTATGTTTTGTTTTATCCTAGTAGAGTTGTTTTGTAAACTCAGCAATTGTTATGAATTCTCATTAGACTGTTGTATAGCTTACATCCTAAGCAACACTCGGGACACTTGAGAATAAATATTATTCTTAGCCATAGGGGGCAGCAAACCGTTACATTTCTTCTAAATCTGCCTTCCAGTTAGATGTACTGAGCAAAGACTTCATCAGAAAACACAGCACGGGATTCCCTTCAAGATCCCTGACTTCTGAAGATTTTTGAATAGTTTTAAATGTCTTTACACATTGCCACAGAGATTCATGAAAGCTTCAGAATCTATATAGTAGGAAAAAAAGTCAAACTGCCAATCAAAAACATTAGAGCCCAAATGGCAACCCCATGCTCTATTGTTACAATAAACATTTCCAAACAAATTATAAATAAAGAAGGCAGCATAACTTGCCACACAACTGGGATGCAGAGCCTATGAAGCACTAAGTAGCGCAGTGTTCTGCATGTAACCTTCTTGATCCCATTACAGAATTAAGTCCCAAGGGCCTGATTTATCCCGCAAAGGTTTGCCAAAATGTGTGAACTTTCTTCAAGTTCTTGCAAATCAGTGGGGTTAGCCAGGAAGTACAATACTCTGGTAACCTGAGTGCAACAGTTAGAGCCTAATTCTAAAAAGCAAACATTAAGCAAGTTACCCACAGTAAAAAATAATCCAAAAGTTACTCACTTATGTTGGTCAGGGCCCTAGAAGATTGTCTCTATCGATAAACAGAGAAAAAAACCCATATCTTTGGCAACATACTATTATATAATAAATGTTCTTATGTTGTGCTATTCACTGATTTCTGCAAAGTTTTGTCCGATTCCTTTCTGAAAAGTAGATTCTCAGAACCACTTAAATCAAAATATTAAACATTCTCTGCATATCTATTCTTCTCTGACACAGCAGTTGAAATTTTCCATCCAATTCCATCCAATTACCAAATCTGACACAGCAGTTGAAATTTTCCATCCAAGTAGACTTTGGTAATTTAGTTCCTTTCTTTTTCAAAGAAACCAATGTCTTTTAGGAATCATGACTGACCATGCTGCTGAGGAGACAAAGCCCATTCTGTGGACAGAACTTGGAGGTTCACTGAGCTTAGTGGATTGTCTGATTCACTTGAAAACAGAAGTTTCAATATTTAGAGAGCCATTTGTCTTTGTCTTAAGCATAACTTAATCTCATTCATCAGCAAAGCAGGTAAGAGAGAAAGGAATCATAACAATAGTGAGGAAACTTTCATAAAGCCAATGTTCATTACTACCTGCTCTTGTCTGACGATGAAGGTGACATCTTCCCCAGGCTTAACAGCCAGGCTTTCTTCTCCGATGCTGATCTGAAGTCCCTTGGGAGCAATCAATGGACACATATGCTGTGCTAAGTTTTGCTGCAGGTCTACACCACCTTCACACACATTAGAAACAACTTTCCTGTACCTGCAAAACCAGAAAGCAGAGAGCACAATGAACTGAAGGTGAGGAGGAGGATGCCATCAGAGGCACTGAATGAGAGTGTGACAGTAACTAATGAATATTCCTTCACGAACAGACAAGATTGCAGATGATCAAAACCAATTCATGATGCAAATAGCTTGATGACAGACATTGTCTTTACAGAATAAAACCTGTTGAAGAAAGAGGGTTTGAAGCAGATGAGGATTTCACTTGAATGCACTGGAAGTTTGCCGTTTCAAATTTAAAACCACGTCTAACCAGCTCTCCAGGAGCTAGATGGTCTGCTGTCCTCTATACCATACCCTTTCCTAGAGTTCAATAGTTTTCAATGCTCTAGAGGTCTTGGTTCAAACCCCAAAGATCGGGAAGAAATTAGATCAAGCAGCTTTTGTATTAACCCAGAACGAATTGCTTATCTGCGGCTTTCAAATCCATGCGTTTCTTAAAACACTTAAAGCATTTATTTAACATAACAGTATAAAGGAGTGAAAAGCCTAACACTTTTACAGAACTAATAATGAAATACTTGGATGTGTACAGTAATTATTTACAGACCAGTTTCACTCAGGTATGTTATTTTTAAACATCCTTTAAAATTGGAGTCAGATTTCGCTCTTTTGAATTCCTATTCTGTATATTACAGCTGTCAGCCGCAACCCAAAAGGCATCATTTTCCTTGGTAAGGCAAATATACAAAGAGACCGTGATTCTATTGCCAGATTTGACATTTCATCATTTGGTTCTCATCTCCACAACCGACAGAGATGATGTTATGATAAGCCAGAATAGATGCCAGCTGCAAGTTATTCTCAGCACAGACGTCAGACTACATTGTAGTGTATATTCTATGTGGTATTGTTTACAGTTACTAAAGGTTTCCTTTGATTCTGAGTGTCCCATATGGTCAGGAAAAGAATCTATTCTCCACAGAACTCCTGAGAAGTGAGAGACTGGGAAGTTCTGTGAGATGTTACTGGCTCCTCAGAGTGATTAATTGGATTCAAATTGAAAATTGGTCTGAACTCAAGCAATGAGCAAAAAAAAAAAATAAAAAAAATAATCTTTTGGATGGAAATTCCTATCAGAAGTGTAGCAATGGTTCCAAAATGTAGCTACAAAATAAAAAATAAAAATATTGGGAACAAAACAGCTCCCCCTCTTCTCAAATGGGTTAGTTTTTGAACTGCTGTAACAGTTCAAAACTGAACATGTAAAGTCACATTCCTCTTTCATTAGTCTGTAGGAAGCTTTTACACATGCTCTGAGTCAGGACTTTGTATTTCCCTTTTTTTTTTTACAGTTTGTCGTTTTACATTTCCTTAAAACCACTTTTCTGGCCCTTGAGTGGACTGTTCTCCTCTGCTCTGGAAACCTCTCTGAACCAGTTGAACACAAAATCAGCTTACCCAGTGCTGCTGGTGTACGCCTGCCCCAGCACACAGTCTTCAGGAGGTGCTTCTGGGTTAAACCAAAAGTCAGCAAAGCATTTGCTAGACTCCGACTTCAGAGGTGCAGAGCGCTCAAACCCATAATCACTGAAAAACATCAACAGCAAGGGTGTTACTATCCCCACTTAATCCAGCACTCTAATTTGGGGCGGATGAGACTATTTTTTTAAGAGTAAAAAGATTTTTTTAAATATTATTCTACCAGCTGAACATACAAGTTGATGAAGCCAGTTCTGTTCCAAGTCTAATTACAACAGGAGTTGTGTACACCTGGGTGAAAAGCTGGTTGTAATTACTTTGTCAGTTCTGCAAAATTGGTACTTTTGTGCTAGCTTAGATTTTGAAAAGGGTTCCTTTGCACTCAGACCAACACATTTCTTCTATTTTTTTGCTTCATTTGCAAATAAAAAGGGTTTACTTGCCTAATAAATCAATCCAATGGTCATTTTTCAAGCCTTGACCAATAGAGAAAAATATCAGGATTTGTTCAGACAGGTGAAACAAACACTTAAATATCAGCAATGTTTTTAAAAAACAGCAAATGCAAAAGGAACATGGAGTACTGTGTCCAGTTCTGGGCTCCCCAGTTCAAGAAGGACAGGGAACTGATGGAGAGGGTACAGCAGAGGGCTACAAAGATAATTAAGGACCTAGAACATCTCTCTTATGAGGAAACACTGAGGGACTTGGGTCTTTTTAGCCTGGAGAAGAGAAAACTGAGGAGAGATCTGATCAACGCCTATAAATACTTAAAGGGTGGGTGTCAGGAGGATGGGGCCAGCCTTTTTTCGGTGGTCCCCAGTGACAGGACAAGAGGAAATGGGCACAAACCTGAACATAAGAACTTCCATTTAAACACGAGGAGGAGCTTCTTCACTTTGAGGGTGGCAAAGCACTGGAACAGGCTGCCCAGGGAGGCGGTGGATGCTCCGTCTCTGGAGACATTCAAACCCATCTGGACATGTTCCTGTGCAACCTGCTCTAGGTGGACCTTCTTTGGCAGGGGGGGTGGACTAGGTGATCTCCAGAGGTCCCTTCCAACCTCATATCATTCTGTGATTCATCCTGTGTGATTCTGTGTTACTCAAATTACACGTTACCTATTTGCTTATACACAGCTACATGGAGACAAGGGCAAAAGGAGTAAAATAAACCCAGCTCAAACTCTAAGTAACTATTTACTAACAATAAATCAACAGGTCCATAGACAGACTCACCATAAGAAATCGGAGTTCACACATTCACAAACTTTGGATGTGAGGGCTGATGTAAAACTTCTCCCTTTAATGCACCACGATGAAATCTTCCTCTTCCGAAAGCTCCTCTGCTGGCCCATGATGCAACGATCACCCTGAACATCAAAGCACACTTGTTGCTTATTGCACACTGTAACCTACACTACGCAGACGTGACCTTATGTTGCCATGAGAAAGGCTTGTCTTGCTGCCAAAACTATAAACTTGTGTCAACTCTTTCATACTAAAATGTAAAGGTATTCAAAGGTCTCAGCCACTGCCATCAACTAATGGGCCACTACAGAGTTGTAATATACACTGTATTTCAGGGCACAAATCCAAAGATATACATGAAAATTTCAAGTGCAATTTAACCCATGTTTCATGTGCACACAATCTAGGCAAAACCCTACAATTGGCCATTTAAAACTTCAGTGTGGATGCAGACGGCTGAAGTTCTATCTAAATCACTTTGTCTCATGTTGGCAGTCAACAAGAAGCACAAACCACGTGGACACAGGTAGAATTAAGACTATCTGAACACACTCAACTGCTAACTGGGCAGCTGCAAGTACTCTGTCAAAGTCATTTTAGTAGTTTCTAATTCCTGAAAGACTTTTCAATGCCAATATCCCAAAATACTGTTACTCTTTAGGCTCAGATTTGCATAACATTCTTAGTAAACACGCAGCATTCCCAAACATGAAGTATAAAATTAGGCATGAGAACTAGCAAATGAGAGCTGAAAAGCTGGAATAATGCAGAGCTGTATGCAAAAAAAAACCCCAGCCCTGCAGAGAGCAACAGAACAAATGTTCTGGAAGAAGCACAAACATAATAATCAGAATTATTATGAATAAATATGACATATTCCATTTAATGTGGTCTCTTTAATCAATAGACTGGATAGAGAATGTACCTTCCCAAAATTGGATTTGGCCAGAGAATCAGGATTAGCACAGCCTTAATGCATTACTGCAGAAATGGTATTGCCCAAAACAACTGGACCTCATTACTTGATCGGTCCACTGAGATCCTAAATTACTTCTGGAATGGGCTTTACTTAAGGCAATTTATATATAAGTACAGTATGTGGTCAGGAAGTTAGCAGAATGTATGACTGCATGTTGAAATTTCTTCAATCAGTATTGCACACTTTAGTTTATGGTATATATTTCACAATCCAGCAGGACCACCTATTATTATGGCAGACCACCAGATACACTTCCGCCTTTCCCAGGGCACAGATTGCCCAACCAAAGAGAACAAAAAATCCTCCTCCATTTTAAAATATTGTAAAATCAGCAAACAACAACATAAGGAGAACAAAGTGCGGGATGTAGCATGCAAATTCTAATTGAAAACCTTTTTCTAGTACATTCTACCTGAATCTGAAAGCTACGGAAAAATTAACATTAGACCATGAATACCTGTAGATTTGTGAGCTCCCAAGATTCATAGTCATCATCCGAGCACTCCCTGGGGAAGGATGGTCTGAAGTCTACCTTCACCAGTTCCCAGTCTGAACGGTAGCTAATATGTCCAAAGACTCTGAGTGAAAAGATGAAAAATAAAATCTTATTGAAAGAAACCATACATCTGAGATTGAAATTTTCAATTTTATCTTTTTCTTTCCATGGTCATAGTCACGGCCTGCTCCCCCGAAACCCCTTGACCTGGAGCCTAACCCTCCTCAAGCAATAACCACCAGCGGCGGTCACAATGGATGCATCTGGTTGAAGTGGCTTCAGGGGAGACATATCATAACACAATATGGCAATGTCCCCACTTAGCTGCAGCATGGGCAATGTGCGAGCCAAGGCTAATTTTGAAGAAACTAACATCTACAGTTGGTATGCAAATATGGCTATGAGTCGATCATCCTACCCCATAAATAGTGAACAGCCCAGGAGTGCTTTGATCTCTCCTGAATGGCAGCAAGCTGCACATCAGGATCCCCCCTTGAGTAGAGGCACCTCTCAAGGTTAGTCCTCAAGGCTGAGAGACTTCTTGCCACAACAGATTCACAGTAAGTGAATAATAGCATGCTAAACTTTGAGATCTTAGATAAGTGATATAAAGGATTGATTGCATATATATAATCCTTTAGACATAAACCATTGAGCAAGTCTGGGACTACAACTGGATCCAGCTGCACCTAGACTCCTCTCTGACAAGGAGTTTAGAAAGCAAAAGGAGTCCTTTCTGAACCTCAGGACCCAATGGGAGGGTCTCCGTGATAGTTCCGCTTGACACTGTCCTCTATGCAGTAAATAACCAAGTGCATGTTGCCATTGAATCTTGTTAAATCACTGTTGCATTTACTATTAAACTTTGTTAAATCACTGTTTTATATCAAGAAATATATTGCTGCTTCTCTCTTATGAGTGAAGTGCATCACTCCATCTGCAACAGTCATGGTTCCCTACTAAAAGGTCCCCGGTTAATTTTTCTTCCACTTTTATTCCTCTTCATACATAATGTGTCCAGTTAGAAAATACTTGCAAATCGGCTATGAAATTCTACAATGAAATAATATAGCTTATATATTAGAGATTTTTTTCCCCAGCATACTATCCAAAAATTTAAATAGAATTATACTACCTATTCCAATTTGAAACCTAACGTATTTGCCTGTTATCTTGTTATATTAAACATTTTTTGATAGGGAGCAGAACCCAGGATCACTGGGTACATTTTCCAGCTCTGTCATTCATTCCTTATGATTATGGCACAAATTCTCCAGCTGCTTGTGTGGGTTTTTTTCTTTACTTCAACAGATTTCAGATGGCAATTTGGTATTGTTCAAACTCACAGCAGTATCATGAAATTGTATTCATTTCTAAGGAATACACTGAATTTACACATTGTGCTGAAGAACTCTCAGTCTCCTCTTCATTTCAGACAGTCCAATACATAACAAAGAACAGGCACAAACTGGAAATTTCTTTTTGGAAAAAAAAAAGAAAAAGAAATCTCATTGCTTTAGGAACCAAGCTGCTCTTTCAAAGCAGCCAACATTTTCAAAGTCAGAATATTTATTTCCAAAACAAAACGGGTAAGTATGACATCCAGCAACAAATTAGAAAGGATAAAGACTCTATTTGGGTAAAAGTCAAATGTATTTGTGGTTTGTATCAGGCTTATGTGGCTTACTTGCCAAAGAATTTAAGGTTGATTCTGAAGCCAAAAATTTCTGTGCAGTTCATACTGCACACAGTTCATATTCCAAGCTTTAGTAGCATTCTTCAAACTAATTCATTCCTTTTGTTTTCCCCTCAGTTTTGTCCAAATCCAGACACAGCAGGAACGGTACAGTTTTGTTAAAAGCATTCTGCTGTGCACAGTCATTTCTCTTGTCCTGAATGCCAGGTTCAAAGTGGAACTAGGGTAGACCAGAAGTGAGGAAATGGTGGATTCTCTGCAGCAACATCGTCACACTAAGCCTGGTAGAAGGATGCAGAGCTCTGAAGTCTACCACAGAGGCCAAAAAGCAGTTGCAGACTAAAGATGTGCAGCAATTTCCCCCTTTCCTTTCTGGTGTATTTGCTTCTCAGTAATAGCCCAGAGATGCAGGTATCTATAGGTTATTGCCCATAGTGCCCACATTATAACAACCAAACAATCTATGCTCACAGGAAACTTCACCATGGGAAGTGCACTTAATTAAACAGAAACACATGCATTTAGTTTGTATGTCTCACCCTTTTCTTAGTAAGGCTCTGAGATTAAGGGACTTGGATCATCTAATTTTCTTTCCTTTTCAATCTACCCACGGCTCAGAAGTAGAAACAATACACAAGAACTAAAAAATGCGGCGTGGTCTACTGGCTGTATGTGCACATAGGTGTGTGGTCCCACTTCTCACAGCAGGAAGACTGTCTTGCATTGAGACCTACAGGTTTGGTTCCTTTTTCTGGTTCAGCTGGATCGCGAGAGCTGCTGTCACTGTATAATCTTATTCCCTTGTAGTTACATACGCAATAAAGTGACTACTTAGGTGGTCTCATGTTTTTTCCACAATGCCTGCTTCAATATGACTGGCTTTGCTGACAGGCATAAAGTGTCTTTCCCATGCTAAATACCTGTATCTTTTTTTTTTTTTTTAAATCTTTTTTTTTCTGCATACAAGGTACTAACATAAGGCAGACTTCACTGTGCTTGTGCAGCTCCCTACCTCAGTGAATGCTTCTTTAGACACCACAAAACTTTAAAATTGGTTACATTTATTAACTCATTTATCAACAAATATGTTCAAGTGCAAGGAGCCAAGTCCTGTCAAAGCTTCACTTCTTCCTCAAGAAAATTATGTTCTATGGAACAAATGAAATTTTCTTCATTCATGTTAGATATCTCAGGCAGATTAGTCAGGAAAGGAGAAGAAAAGAGGTGGTTGTTTGAGTTCTATGCAGAACAGAATAATGAAATTCTCCTGAAAGTATAAAACAAAATCTCTGAACTATTAATAATCATCTTTGAGACCTCACAGAGAATGAGGACGATTCCAAGTGACTATAGAAAGGGAAATATTTCGCCTATACAGATATATATATACACACACACGTATATATATGTATGTGTATATATAACCATATATATATATATATATAAACCAACCAAAGAGAGCAGAGGAAGCTACAGATTTCATTTTGATATCCACAAAGATACCGAACAAATTATTAAGCTATGCACTTAAAAGCACCTTGGAGATAATTAAAATGATAACAAACAGCCACCATGGATTTGTCAAAGCCAAGTCATGTCAAACTAATGTAATTTCCTTCTTTTCGAGGGTAACTTAGTGGATAAAGGAAAGGAGAAAACGTAGCATATTTTGACCTTTGATAACACTGTTATACAGTTCTAGCTGACATTGTCTCAAAGTAAAAAATAAAACAGTAATGAAGATAAAATCATTGTAACGAGGAATGGGAGTACATATTCAATTAGGAGAATCTATTTTCAAAAAGTAGTTATCAAACAGGGAAATATTTTGAGATATTTATTGCAAATATATGATGTGTCCACAGTCAATGCTTTCATTAACACATGTGATCAAATGACAAACACCCACAAAATTTTGCAGATAACACAGGAGGAAGGGGGCAGGCACTGACTAATGGAAGCAATGGTCAGAAATCAACATGATGAAATACACCAAAATCAATTGCAAAAAGGTGCAAAACCAAAAGGGAGAATTACTTTCAAATATTGAAGAAAAGGCTTGGGGAGTTCTGGGGAATTAAAGCAAGAATGCAATGTTGCTGCAAGAATAAAGACTAATTCTAGGTTGTATTCAGAACTGAAAATCAGAAAACATGGAGGTAATTATTTTGATAAACTTGGCACTGGTGGAGCCTCTGGAAGAATATGTTTTCTAATTTCGAATGCTATACACATATTTACACACTCACAAAAAATTTACTCGAAGGGGGGCAAGGACGACCCCATTAGCTGCTTAGGAAATGTAACTAGTGAAGAACGATTGAAAGAATTGGTCTTTTCTCCAAAAAAGATAAAGCTGAGAAGTACAACAAAATGTCTCTAGAGTCTTGTTATAGATTGAAGAGTTGTCTTTAAAGACACCTGGAAGAAGGGCAAAAAAAGGAAAGGCTAAAGACATAAAAGATACAGCCGCATAATTCTCTAATTCTTTCTTTCTCCTCAGCACCAGGGAGGCCGCACTTGGAGTACTATGTACAGTTCTGGACTCCTCAGTATGAGACAGGCATGGACTAGTGAGTCCAACAAAGGGCCACAAAGATGATGAAGGGATGGGAGCACCTCTCCTACAAGGAAGGGCTGAGAGAGCTGGGACTGTTCAGCCTGAAGAAGGCTCAGGGGTATCATATCAATGTACATAGATACTTGAAGGGAGGGTGCAAAGAAGACAGAGACAGGATCTTTTCAGTGGTGCCCTGAAAGGCAGGGCACAGAGGCAATGGGCACAGACAGAAACACAGGAGGTTCCCTCTGAACATCAGGAAACACTTTTTACTGTGAGGGTGACCGACCACTGACACAGGTTGCCCAGGGACCCTGTAGACTCTCTATCCTTGGTGATACTCAAAAAACATCTGAACGTGGTCCTGGGTGACTGGCTGTAGGTAGTCCTGCTTGGGCAGGGGGGTTGGACCAGATGACCTCCAGAGGGGTCCCTTCCAACCTCAAACATTCTGCGATTCTGTAATGGTAATGGTACAGGCTACTGAGGTTGTTTATTATCCCTCACTGGAGTACAAAATTTGTGAAACATCAGAATTAGAGCTACAGATCACAAACTTTTGAGATATTGCCCAATCCCACATCCTATAATTTTATAAAAATTCTATAAATAATTCTAGAAATTATGTAAATTCTACTGGAAAAATATAGAAGCTACGTGTAAACCATGTTTATACAGCAAAGGCACTGCTTCAATGGGCAAACTGCCTGTTCGTCCAGCCTCTTGCAAAAAAATTGTCATTTCCATTAGAGCTGTTCTGATTTTACAGACTGAAAACAGGTTCTAACAGAGCACTGTAACTGCACCAATGATTCCACCATTCTCT